GTTTATTATGATCATGCAGACTTCAGAAGAAAAGTCTTTTTTTTTTCATCTTATATAAAGGAACCTGCTTTTGGATTCTTATTTCATGGGGATGAAAACATTCATCTTGTTTGTTATACATTGATACAGTTTGTAATTTAATACCAGTTTAATCAGCTAGGCATGATTGTGTGAATCTTGATCAAAGTTTTATAAATCTAACAGGATATGTTAGTTATAGCAAAACTGTGTTGAGTATTTGATTCCAAATTCTTGAATATGTAGATAGGTGAAAGTTTATATTCTTCAGATAATTGGAAGACGAAATATATACTTTATCGACTATATAATATACATTTATAATTATCAAAAATGTCCTAAACACCTAATTGTACCATCATATGATAATAAATGTTTTTTAAAGGGATTTGCTGAATAGATAATTAAGATCACTAGCACAGAGTAAAACATTTCTGTTTCTTACACAGGGCGGTGGACCTGACAGCGATACAGTTCTTAACTCAGCATCCATGGCAGGCGGCATGATTGAGGGTAATTTACACCCAGACTTTTTCAGGTCTTATGGTTTTTCAAGACGGTTTCAAGTAAAAATGGTTCATTTTTATGCAAATATTTTTTAAGAACCATGAATACAAAGATTTGTTTGCAAATTCACCTGAGTATAAGCTGAATGATATCACAAACATATTTCACAGTACAATATGTACTTGCATCTAAGATTGGAATAATACCTTTTTTATTCTTCCAGATAAGACATTTGTAGATTTAACAATCTTGCAAGCCAAAGATCTGATGCCTGCTGATCGTAATGGTAAGTTATTGATCATAATAATAATACATTATAATCTTTTTAAAGGCACAACAGCTTCTAAAAAGAGTTTTTTTTTTTTTGAAGAAAGAGATTCACCTGTTAAGATAAACACCTGGGTAATCCTGACAGTTTTAAAGAGGATGTGGAATTGTAGAACATTAATGCATACTCAACTTATTTATAATTTTCTGACTCTGTAAAGATTTGACTTATTGATATTTTGATTTTCAGGCCTAAGTGATCCTTACTGTACAGTTTTGATGGGAAGTAAAAAGGTGTTCAAAACTTCAGTGAAGAAAAACACACTTTTCCCAAAGTGGAATGAGAGCACTTCCTTCCAAGTACTGGAAGACAACCACTTATTGGAGATTGTATGTCTTTGTTCTACTGATAACACTTTGAATTATTTTAAAGTACATTGTACAGAATGTAATTTTGTGATGTTTTCTTTGATTTAAATTAAATGTAATTTTGTGAAGAAAAAGGACAAGACATATTACAATTGATTTTAATTGTATTTTACAGTTTGTTTATGACAAGGACATGATTTCCAAAGATTTTCTTGGCAAAGTCATATTAACACTAGACAAACTGAAAGAAATTTCTCATAAGGTAAGGGGGAGAAAACTAATGCAATTTTACATCAACTAATGACATCACTTGTTGATGAAAATGATTGCAATTTTTAATAACGTACAAATGGTTGATATATAAAATCTTAAGCTTCAGTAATATTCTTTCTTTGTTGAAAACTTGAATAAGGAGACTGTCCTGTCGAAGGTTGTAAGCCATTTGGAAAAGGTATAAAAGAAGAATCTTTTGTGTTCTATTTTAGGGTACAGCTGAATGGATTCCTTTACAGAGGACAAAGTCTGGACAAATTCAGATTAAATGTACAGTGACATGTACAAGCTCTCTGGTAGGTGATCAGTTGTACTGTGACTTGTAAAAAAATAATTAAAACTGTTCCATGTACGAGGGGTGTTAGAAAAGTTCGCGGACACATTAAATTACAGAAAATCTATTGTGTACTGTGAAGTATGACCTATGTCTGAATGAATTCCTACATTTTGTTTATTGGTTTGTAAAAAATCAGGTTCATGTAATAAAATCTTAAAATTTTACAACTATTTTTACTATGGGGTTTTGGGATTCACGGAGCAATCACTTGACGTAAGCGACGCGACAACCAGATTTCAACCCTTTAAGCTTTGTCGCAGTTCTATAAATCTTTCATTTCTTCAGATTTTTCTTATCTTCTTTCTACTTTAAAATTGTATATCCTTAACAAGACATATTACTTTTCTACTATAATGTCTTTTGTACTATTTCGGATATTGAGATCTTAAAAAATAAAAAAAAAAGTTTATGCAGTCAATCGATCAGGTATGGAAACTATGCAAAACCATATAGGCGCAATGCAACGTCCATGCGATAGAGGGGTATTGAAGTAACGAATGGAGTTAATCATTCAAAATGTTACTCTTTCCATTCTTATGAAGCTACAACCATTTAAAAACTTGTTCTTTGTATGTGTAGTATATTCCCGGCAGCATCTTGAACATCTTTTTTAGATATTTTCCTGTCTGCACACATAATTTTTATGTAGTGCAGTGCTCCATGACTCTCAATGACGTTCCGATTTTTGGCTGTATTTTTACGCGTCGATCATTTATAAACGGCTATAAAACAGTCATATACCCTCCAATTTAGTTCAAAATTTCTCCTAGTGACATTTCCTGCATACTTTAGCGGTAGGTAAAATATCATAAATCTCTTGGCACCACAATTGTGCACTTTTTAATTTTAATAAAGAGTCTTTGTGATGTAAACGTGCCAAAATGTAGCATGCTCCATGAAGCAAGATTTATCAAAATAAAAATACCGTATATTTTTCAATAAACACCGGAGAGCACCAAATTCTTGTATATTTATTGGAAAAAAAGCTCAAGATTATATTTGGAAAGTTTGACCGGTTTCGAGGAAATAAAGCGCTCACAATAGAACTTGTCCGCGAACTTTTCAGACACCCCTCGTACAAGGCCATTAATACTGTGACATGTTCCAGCTCTGGTAATATGACATGTACAAGCTTTGCTATTGTGACATGTACAAGCTCTGGTACTGTGACATGTTCAAGCTCTGATACCATGACATGTTCAAGCTCTGGTACTGTGACATGTTCAAGCTCTGATACCATGACATGTTCAAGCTCTGATACCATGACATGTTCAAGCTCTGGTACTGTGCCATGTACAAGCTCTAGAACTTTGACATGTACAAACTCTGGTACTGTGACATTTGGTACTGTGGCATGTACAGGCTTTTGTGCTGAGACATATACAAGCTCTATGGTACTGTGACATGTAAAAATTCTGGTATTGTGACATGTACAAATGCAACTATGACATGCACAAGTTCTGGTACCATTACATGTACAAGCTCTGGTACCATAAATTTATTATTTTCTGTATTTTCAATTTTAATCTTTGAAAGCTAGATTTTGAGAAAATAGAACAATTATGAATTTGTTTAATTACAGGAACTGATTTGATTTATAATTTGATTGCTAACTTTAAGAAAATGTTGCTTATGCTACACAGGAACCAGTCAAGAAGTCCCGTTCTTTGAGGCGGAGCAAACATCCAAACTCTGGGAAGAATAACAATGATGTCTTCTTACCAGTTGTGGACACAGTACATGTAAACCATTTTCAAATCATTTATGTTCAACCACTGGCTACGTAATTTTCAATATAACTGAAAGACAGGCTTAAGAATGGGCTTCATATGTATAGTCAAAGGGAATAGGCAGGGGGCTTGTCCCTACTTTTGAAAGGGGGAGTTCAAATGTATCAGATAGATAAATACAATTATTTCCTTTCAGAAAAGTATTTAGGATATTTGTATGAAATACAGTGCATAGTAAACAATTGATGAATGAAATTTTTAGCCCTGTGGCTTAGCTTTCCTGATGATAATTTGTCTGTTGATTACAGCCATTATTGTGAACTTATCACATTCTCATCTTCTTCTCTAGACCCACTGAACCAATTTCAACCAAACTAGGCACAAAATATTCTTGGGTAAAGGAAATTTAATGCTCAAGGTTTGTTCAAATGAAGTATTATATTCTCTTCTAAGTGATTATCAAGGCAAAAAGGGAATGGTCATTTTATAAACCTGAAAAATTTGGTGGCAAAACAGGATAAAGATTTTATAATTGGTGTAAAAATTCTACTCCTCACATCTGCTCTGTTAAGTCCCCCTGCCCCCTTTCCACCTTTCAGATCTCTGACCTTGCTTTTGATTATATACACACTCTCAAATTTATCACAATAATGACATTTCTTTTTATTATAGTTTAATATAAAGGATTTATAGAGTAAAGTCTTCGTATGAAAGAGGATGTTAATTTTATTGACAGGAATCTGATAAAGGGGAGTTATCTTCAGGGCTGGATTCCACGAGCCCTCTACCCCCAGACAGTGTGAATGGAAGCTCCCCCAAATCCTCAGAGGGACAGATCTCCCCAACAAGGGAGGAAATATCATTCAGTCCCAGTAACCAACAGATTATTCCAGAAAAAGTGCAGCCCGTGACCTCGACCCCATCAGCTAGCCAGCTTACCGTGAACCCTGAACTTAGGTTACGGAGGTCAGCCTCAGATGTCAACGTGAGCAAGAAGCCAGACAAACAGACAACAGGCTACTCAGGGATGCCGACAGCCTTAACTCTTAAACATACAGACTCGTGAGTAGAAATAACTGGTATTAAATCACTTATGTAACCCCATATAGTATTAAACCTGTAGCTATTACACTACAATATGACAATTGGTATGAAAGATATTGTGGACTTTTTAGTAACAATAAATTTGCTGCTGATTTTTTTCTGGTATTACATGTATATTCTTTTATAAATTCATATTAGGAAACACTTGTATTGATAAAAATAAAAATACAATACTCTCTTGGTGTTTTGTAAGTTTTGTTAAATTTATATTAAATGTATTTCAGGAGCAACTCCATCTCAGCATTGAATCATGATGATACTATCTCTATAGGTAAGCTCTCTGTTTTCTGTTATACATTGTTCTTGGAGTTTTCAACAGAAAATATCAATGTTGACTAATGCTACTGGTTTATTGAATTAAACTTTAGATGATGTATTAACCATAAGATATACAATGATCTCGAAGTTTTTGAAAAGTATTGCAGCAAAGGTTGCATTTCATTTCTTGAATTTAAAAAAATATTCTAGTTTTCAAATCTGACATTTATGGAATAGTACAATGTACTTTACCAGCAATAAAATAGAAATGAATACTTTTCATTTTAAAATCATGAAAAAAATAAATCAAAATGTTCTTCTTAGATGTAAAGAAAAATATAGAGTTTACTCTGGGTTGCATATATAGTGTCATATTATAATGATAATTCAAAGGAAGCTTACTTGTACAAATAAATCATGCAAAACATTTAATGAGTAAATAACTTGTAAATGTGTGTATATATTATAATTTTTATGCTTTTTAAAATGTGATTTGAAATAAATATAATATTAATATCCCAAACTAGAATTGTAAAATATCTGGTTACATAAATTTTCAGAAAATTACTAAATGGAAAAAGATTGTCGGAAATGAAAATAAAAAAGTTCAGAAAGGATAAACAGAATTCTGGAAATGAAATGCAGCGAAACTATTTTATGAAAGCTAGAGTAAGATGAAGTACATGTAACGTACTTGAAGAAATCAATTATCAGAATTTCATGTTCTTCAGCCTTGGAAATAAAAAGGTTTGCATCAATTACTGTAGTCACTAGTTAAAGAATGTAAAACAAAACATATTTTAACAGTGACAGCTAAGGCTACCCCAGAGAATCATGGGAAAAGTAAGAAATGTTTTGTGGTTGTACATGTATTTAATATGTACAGTAAATGTGTATTGTGACCTTCACAAAGTTATTTACAATGTAACTTAATATGCACAGTTTATAATATAATGTTTTAAAACAGCCTGTGAAATTAAAAATAAATGTACCAGTAATGTGAAAATGTTTTAACATGTGTTAACAATTACTTGATTTATTAACTTTTAAAATTCCAACATTTCCTCTGCAACAACAGACAGAAACCTGTGACAAGGTATTACTGTTAATGGCATGAACATGTAATGCTATCCTTCCTTAATTTTGGAGAGAGAGAGAAAGGGAGAGAGAGAGAGACAGACAGACCTGTTTACTCTTACGATTTTGTCATATTTTGTACAGGTTTTTAGTTTAAGATATGTCTCATGTTTTACTTTTATGAAAATACGGAAATCGGAAGTACCTTCGTCTGGAATTTAGCAGTTAGTTTTCGTTATGATCTGTCTTTGTTTCAACCTTTGTTTCAATCTGTTCTTTTGAATTGCTAAAAGAGAGAAAGATTTCAAACAATTAAGTGATGTCGGGTTGCCAAAATGCTGTGGTATTATAAATTGACGAAGAGAAGTTTTTGTAATCAGAAAAGCAGTTGTTCTCTTTTAAAATATGTAAAAATCGATGGAAAGTTTAATCTAACTGGCAAATGCCAAATCTCATGGAGAAATCTGATCAAAAATACTGAGAGATTACGATATGGGTAAACAGGTCTGGAGAGAGAGAGAGGAGAGAGAGAGCAGATTGGGATATTCCTTCAGCATGATAAATACAGTGTACACAGTTTTTATATAAAAAAGTTTCTTGCCTACTTTATTTACCGGGTAGATTTTATCATGAATGGAATTCAGTCCTGATTATCCTTTCCTCAGACTTTGATATGAAATATTTTATTATAATTGTTCTAACATGTAGATCAAATAGGTGCATGCACATGCATAGGTACTACAAATACTAATAAATAGAATTTAGAAGTACAATCATAGAAAAATGATAATACTCTATATAATAACTGGTGATGATGAATTAATGCTGTATTCATCAACTAATTTCATCAAATTTGTTATTATTATAATACTGTATTATATCAAAATTCTAAAGAAAAATCATACATATTTATAAATATAGTTAGAACCTGACAGTGTCTTTGTGTTAGCTAGGAAAAGTTCCATTCAAGTCTTAATTTTTCATTAAAACCTGCATCTAATTTATTTAAGAAAATTAAAAATCCTTTTAAAATTGTAACATTAAGATTTTTTTATACTTATGTATAGTACATATATGTATGTGGTCTTTTTTGTAAATTGTGCATGCAATAAATCTACATGTACATTAGAAAAATTATTTATGTCTTCAAATTATTATACCAGTAGGATTCAATGTTCAAAGAATGTATTCTCTGAAATTCTTAGGCTGTTAAATACATCTAAATAGATCAAACAATTTTTTTTTATATTTTAAAAACTTTCTGCTTTTTCTTTATTCTGCATTAAGGTTTTTAGGGTGAACATTTTTTTGAACTTGTGTAAAACAATTTATATCAATTACATGAATGAGTTTTTTAAGTCTTAAACAGTATACTCCAAAAACAAGCAACATAGAAAGAAAGCATTTAACGATAAATTTTCAGCTCTGACATCCTGGGAAAAAAACATTTACCTGTTTCTCTGATTAAAGTTTGTTCTTCGCCTTATTTTACCAAAACTGCAAGAACACTATCAAGGTTAAAAAGATATTGTATTCTAATCTGACAAGTAAACATACATCTTTTCGGAGGATCCAGTTAATGAACTTAAGGACAGAAGATACATTTTTTTCCCCTAAAAAATCATGAAAATAACTAAACCATCTTTATATGAAAAAAATAAAAGGTTCTAATTGCATACTTGATTATAATTTTTTTTTTATTCAAGGTTTAACAATAATGTCCTGTAAATTGACAACAATTTCAAAAGGTTTATAAGACTGACAACAAACAGTTAGATTTTTCAACATCATAGACAGTTTACAATTGTTTTTATCTTTCCTTTTGCTAGAACCTGTGCTGTGTATAAATTCAAGAGCTAAAATTGATTTCCATGCTTAACCTTTATGTCGTGCTTTCCAGATTCCTCTGTAGCCGGTCATGAGAAGCTTTACAATGTGTCCGGGAAGATTCTGGAGGTCAGTGGACTGAGGCAGAGCTCTGGGAATATTTACATCAAGGTCCGCCTGGAACAGTAAGTACACATAAGCTGCCTAGAAGTTTCTCCCTAAAACCTACTCCTTTAACACTCATAACCTTATAAAAATCCTTTGTTGAATGTAAAAATTCAAGTGTAATTTAATGATTGAGTGTTTTTAATACAGTATTTTGAAATTAATTGTCAGCAAATATTAATTTTGCAACTAACCTTCAGATAGCTACACTACAGGTAATGCAGAGAGTGAGGCAAAAATTGATGCATTACTTTGTGCCAAAATTTTACATCTAAACATATGAAGAAAGCAGTTAGGAATCCTAGTCTAGGATCATCACATGATTATAAAGGCTCATAAAAGTAAATTTTCAATTTTTATTCAATCCAGCCACAGACAAAAGCACAGGTATGAGTTGTTGTATAGTGATCATGTCAGTTGACAGCTGTATCCCAATCTGTTCATCAAATTTCAGTCATCAAACAGCTTCATAGAGGAACATTTTACACTGGTGATTGGTTCACGATTAATGACACCTATAGCCATTCTGTTAGAATTCTGTGTTGTAATTCACTTGTTTGAATCAGTGTGCTCTCTTTTAACAATTTGATTTTAGAACCTGTCAATCTCTGCCAAGTGTCTTTCATCACTCTTCATGTTTCATAGATTTAGTATCAAAGTCAACCTAATAAGGAAAACTAATATGAAAACTAATACAAAAATAAAACTTTGTCAGAATGGGTGAAGTTTCAATACAGTTTGTCAGGTAATATACAAGTTGGTCATTTATTGACTGAGTTGAAGGTAACATACGTTTTGACAGGGCCCAAGAACCAAACCATCTGCCAAAGGCAGACAGTTTGGTTCGAGGGTCCATCACTGTTGAACACCATTGAATGAAAATGAGATTAAGCTTTCTCATTGTTGAATGCCAATGAATGAAAATGAGATTAATCTCCGCCCATTGTCTGAAGTAAGCAGTCCAACATCTCACTCTGCGGTCAAACATCAAATTTTTTTTATGCCCGCTCAGCGAAACATTAGAAATCTTAGCCTTTTTCCTATATATTTGTATAAGAACAAATTTTCAAAGGTATAACAAAGGCCTTGATTTAAGCAATATACCGGTATGTCATTATTTTTTATTAATATTTTTAGCTCAGGAAGCCGATTGAGATTTATTCACCATGGGCGGGTTATCGCCAAGTCCTATCTGTTTCCTGTAAGTGCCTCAGCTCTCAATCAGCCATTTGAGGTAAGTCAACAATCTTCTTACTTATTCCTTATATGAAGTGGTCTCCAATCTCTATTCCATTTTTTTTTTTTGGATACTGTATGATTTGATTTAAAAGGTTAGTCCTGGTAATAATGAAATATTTATAAAAGGTTGACCGTGGTGCTGGCGTCAGTGGGAACACACACCTTATCTTTGACATCAAGAGTGAAAACAAAGACCACTTGGCCCAGAAGTCCTTTAGATTAAAGGAGTTGTTCTCAGGTAGGGTCTACAAGAATCAAATATGGCAAGCTACTTCAAATTGTTGCTCATACAAATCAATATATGTACATGTACATTTATAAGTAAAGTTGGTAGGGTTAAGGGAAACAACTTGCATACAGATTGACATATATCCATTAGAATTTTCAACTTTTGTTGGAGTGGCCTGCATGGCGCAGTGGTTAGAGCTTCTGCTCTAGAATTGCAAAATAAGACCTTATAAACTGAGGTCCCGTATCCCAGTAGGTGCTGGCACCAAAAAGATCCCTCACTGCTCAATGGCCCTGAGTGCTGAGCATAGAACGAAATTTGTAGCTATCCACTGGCAAATGGTGGCGTCTCCATGTGAGTGAAATATTCTCAAGAGGGACGTTCAACAACATACAATCTATCAATCAACATTAGTTGGAAGTTACTAGCATCAAATTTCCTCTAATTTTTTTATTTACCGTATATACTCGCCTATAAGTCGGTATTTTGGGAGTTAAATTTTAGTCCAAAAGTCTATGTCCGACTTCTGGGCGAGTCATAAAAAGATATTTTTCTAGATGGCGAATCATAGTATTCAGTAAACATTTTCAATAGCTATTGTTGAACAAAGTATGGATACATTATATCATTTATATATTAAAAGATTATACATAAATTACATGAATTTTATATACATGTATTTAATAAAAAAATTATTTTTAATCTTAAGAGGGCAGAATTTATTTTTTATGATTCAAAGTTGAATATCGACTTTATTTCTCAAAATATTAATTGAAATCAGGGTAAAACATCAAAGCATTTATTAGAAATTGTCATCTGATTCTGGAAAAAAAATGTACCGACTTATAAGAGGGTCAATGCCAAATTCCTGCCAAATAACTTTTAAAAAATACAACCGACTTATAGGTGAGTATATACAATATCTGAAACTGTATACAGAAAAGTTTACTAGATCTTTAAATTACATGTATGTGCTTATTGTAACTAGCATAGAAAGTTATCTGTTTTTAATCCTGCTGCTGCGTGACTTTCAGATTATGTAGAAGGAGGGGTGGAAAAATGGCTGCAGCTTTCAGACAAGGCAGAAATAAAAGTGTTTTTGACTCAGGGAAAGCCAAATCCCCGTCTTGTGAAGAGACACAGTGGGATTGGGAAATCCTTGTCCTTCAGAAAATGAAAATAGAAAAAAAATTATTCTGGATGGACAATGTGTGTGTTCTAATTATTATTAGATTTTGTTTATATTCTTGTTTTTTTTTACATATAATTTAGATATTGGACACAAAGGTGTTATAAATGTGCAATTTTATGAAACCATTTTCTTTATATTTCCTGCAAGTATTGTATTCCTTTATAGTTGTAAAATTATAGTATAAACATATAGTACATGTAATTGGTGTTTGCTATCACAATTCTAAGTACCCCTTCCTTTCTGCCAGAAAAATGGTTCTTTTTGTTATTTGTTTTATACCTCATTATAGGCATTTTTGGAATCAAGTGTATGTTTTAGTGCTGTATGATGTACTGTAAATATATAACATTTAGCAGTGTATTTTATTCAGCGATTTAAGCAGGAACTTAATTTCCACCAAACATCATACACTCCATAAATACATGTAATACATTTACAGTATAGCTACAAATATATGTTTATATACATGAACAATTATAAATGTACTGTTCATAAAATAGGGAAGAAGAATGTTACAATGTATATCTCCTTTGTTTAGTCAGTTGTGCATTTTTGTGATTACTTTTGTAATAAGTATATTTCGATTTTATACAGAGATCTGTGATTAATAATGTAGATTTTGTTAGCTACAACATGTATCACATCAAATGTATCAGTGTTGAGAGCAGATGCATTTTCTAAAACAGCCGGGTGCCATTTTGATTAATTTATACAAATAGTATATTGTTTGTTAAATTTACACCGTGTTTCAAAGAAAACTGTGCTATCCCTTAACTGTGATAAACAAAATAAGATAGTAATGAAATTAACAATATTTCAATTTCCTTTATTTCATTTAGATATTTTTTCAGTAAGCTGGAAGCTTCTTGTTATGTACATTATACAATTTTTCTAATATATACAGTACAGTGTACATCAGTTAAATAACACAAGTTATTTCAACTGTAGCAAGGTAATACAAATTTATACGTCATTTTACATATTTATAGTTACTTACTAGATTTTAGATCAGTGTAAATAGAAACAATCTTTGGATTACAAAAAACATTGTACATGTACACTATATCTTGTATATTAGACTCAGCTGTCCTTCCATAATGCAGTTTTGACCATGTATAATATTTATTTGCAATTTGGAGCTCACCTGAGCCTTCGGCTCAAGTGAGCTTTTATGATCGAAATTTGTCCATTGTATTTTGTCATTGTCTCCGATATTGTAAATTTTTCTCTATCTCATCTTCTTCTCCAGAACCACAGGACAAATATCAAACAAACTTGGTTGAGTATCATTAGGTAAAGAGGATTAAAGTTTCTTCAAATGAAGGGCTAGGTCTTCCTTCAAGGGGAGATAATTACAAAATCGTGAAAAATTGATGTTATTTTTTAAAAGTCTATAGAACCAATGGGCCTGGATAGATAAAACTTCAGTGGAATCATTGTCAACAGCAGCAAAATCATGATTGGTCATATAAATTTATGTGATAGCATATGACAGGTTGTGAATATTCATGTTTGTACCAATCATGACCCCTAGGTTAGGGTGGGGCAACAATGAAGTTCGAATTTGTAGGTAAGTGGAAACTATTGTGGAAGCAATCTGGGGTAGTGTAGATTCTGAGTTGTTCGAATCATGACCCCTGGGGGTAGGGCGGGCCACAATACATATAGCAAGGGGGGAAATCTTGTGAAGAACAGCAGGGCCAACTTTACTTAGGTGAGCATTGTGGCCAATGGGTTTCTTGCTTCCGGATTGGTCTGCACATTACCAACTTTTTATTTTATCAATACCGGTAATATGATGAAATTCGGAATGTGTCCATCTCAAAACGGGTGCCAATGGGCCTGAGAACCATATTAAATTTATCTTTTGTACCCTATTAAAAGTCACTGAACTGAGAAAGTAAAATGCAGTTCAAAACTGTCAAATATAATTCTAAATGCTTTGAAAAATATGCATTAATTGTAAGAAGTAAACTTTTTGTTCTGACTTTATCATTGTTATCAAACTATCAAAGTACAACACCATCTTCCAAAAGATGATTTAGTTAATGCATTAAACCCGGGGAAAAAATGACATATTTTTCTGCAAAAAACTCCCTGGTTCCCAGGACTTACCTAATATATTCGCCTATGTCAGATTTTGGGGAGTTAAACTTTAGTCCAAAACTCTATGTCAGACTTATAGGCGAGGTATAAATATGTTGGTATTTTAGAAGGTCAATATTTCTAAACAAGCTTGAAAAATACAACCGACTTATAGGCGATTATATACGGAAATTGTCTTACATTTTATGCAAAAGCCACATAATCTTTTGGATTGATTGATGTTGTTTTCTGTCCAATTCAAGAATTTTTCACTCATAAAGAGAAGTCGCCATATACCAGTGTAGAGCTTCAAAATATGACCTTAAATACTTGGCACTCAGATGCTTAGCAACCACTTTATTATAAGTTCACTGTCTGAACACATATTTGAACAAAATGTGGATATGATTCCTTCTGCAGAGTTTATTAAGAATTTCCTATTTCAGCATCCAGTTGTAAGATATTAAAAGAAGTTTTGAAAACATACACGATACATGCAAAGCAGTTTACAAAAAAGCCTAAACTGCTCCAACCCAGATTATATCGGTTTAATTTGGGTTGCTATTTTATTCACCCCTTATAATTTAATTTTCAATCATTAAGTATAGAAAACAAGTCAAGAAGATTGATACGTTTTTGACGTAAGTCATTGTGACCTAGGCAACCCAGACTAATTTTTTTATCCAAACAAATGATGCGTTGCAACCAAAATTAATTTATTTAGGAATGGACTTGCTCCTAAAACTTGAACCAGGATGATGCTAAAAAACTGGGACAGACAGAAAAACACCCAGTTAAGTGATCCGACAGAGCCACCCTCCTCTACATGCTGCATTTCATTTTGGGAAATCTGCATTGCATTTCCGACATGTTTTATTTCATTTCCAACAGTTTTTCTTTTCATTTCCGACATATATTTCTTTTCATTTCTGGAATTTTTGCAAGGTACCTCTCAGGCAACTTAATGTTAACTAAGTAGGTCGAAATGGAATTTTAAAAGAGTTTATTTCAAGCCAACTTTGGATAAAATATTAAAAAAGAGATTAAAACATATAACAATTCTGGAAATATAGATCTACACATGAAGCACTAAGTCTAGTTAAAAAAGTTCAATGCGCATGCAATTTTTTCATAACATTTATTGTTCACCAAAATGTTAATGGCTGCACCGAACTTATATTCAAGACATTTGATACACTATAATATATTCAGTAATAATTTTCATCAGTGAATCATTCAATCCTACTTTCATTACAGAAAAGCACTACCTGAAAAATGTAGGAAATGAAAACTTTCAAATGTTTGAAATGAAGCTAAAAATTGTCGGAAATGAAAAGTTGAAAATTTCAAAAAATTCTGAAAATGAAATGCAGGTCTTCTACAGGAGACACAAAAATATCATGATTAGCTGAGTCCACTTAATTGGCATGTATGTACATATGATACCAAAGCTTCTCCTCTTGTTTCAAGGGCTTGGAACCTTCTGCTTGAAAAGACACATGAACTTGTAATTTCAAGCAGGCAGCATTAAAAGTTTTGTGTCATTTTCTTTCTTTATATTTTTGTGCATTTTTCTTTTTTTATTTTCAATTTTTTTTCTTTGTTGTTGTTTTTCTTTTTTTTTTTGTTTTGTTTTGTTTTGTTTTGTTTGTTTGTTTTTTTTTTTGCACAATGCTTGAAATTGTAGTCAGACATATTAACATTAACAATCAGATTTAATATTTACAAATTGAAATCTTACATGACATTCACAAAACTAAACTGGGGAAATTCATGTTTTCTTTAAAATTCATCATCTTCTTTCACTGCATACATAATTTAGTCTACACATGCATTCAATCATACAATAAATCAATTAAGTTAGCATCAACTTTAAATTATAACAAGCAGAATGTACATAGTCATACTACATGTTCGTGCAAATATCTAATAATTTTATCAATTATAACATTTGGTCTGTTAAATTAAAAAAAAAATTTGGACATCCTCGTACCAAAGTTTGAGGCGGAATAGGCACGGCTTGGGCACGGCTAAGGCACGGAATCCACACGGGTTTTTAAAAAGCCGCACGGGTTCTGCATGTCCAAGACACGGACACGGCTTCCGTGTCTGAAAGTGAGGAATCCTCGCTCACAGAAACCGGTGTGGAGGCACGGAATCCGTGTCCCAGGGAGACGGTTTTTAACTCAGGCGGGTTTTGCTTCAAACTATTTATTTATATCTCACGGCTTTTTACTGAGCATGCTCAATCATAACTTCCTTTATTTGAATATGAAATTGGAGGGATTCATGGTCATGAGCTAAGAATGTGTCTTTTTGCTCTAGTTAAAGGATATTAAACTAATAGATGTCGGTTGGAATTGTATTTAAATATGTCAGTCTGGGATAATTTCATCACTTTTGAACTAAATGCAGTAAGTTACAGTAATCTAGAATAAATAAGTCAATTTTTCAATTTTCATGATCTTCCTGTATTGCAATGTTGACAATGAACATGATGAAATAATTTAGGTTTATTTGAATGACTTTAGTGGGAATAATTCTTTATACAGTGTAGTATATATTTTATGTGACATCACTGCGTTAGTGAAAGTTTTATTTAAACTAAATTCTTTCTCAGATTGTGCAAACTTAAGCTACTAGATTAAATTACAATTGAATATTGTACATTATCATTAAAAGCTTAATTAAAAACCAGCATGGATTGTAACTGATAAAGTTAATCTTTAACAGAATGTAAATGGACATATTCATGTAAGATTTTTAACTTTTAAAATTCTAAAACTAACGAAGTATTAATGTAAAGCAATATAATGTGAAGTTAGTTTGGTTTCAGTCACCATTTTGGCATCCACAGTTACATCAGGGGATTTTCTAAAGGCCATGACCTAGATCTAAACAAATGCACAGATCCCGTGACTCCTTATATGGTATACGACACGGCTTTTTTGACACGGGTTTTCAAAAAACCGTGTCTCCATATATGGAAAAGAACACGGGTTTCAGACACGGGTTTACAGAATCCGTGAGTCCATATATGGAAACTAGCATGGCTTTCTGACACGGGTTTTGTAAAACCGTGTGATCTCATTTAAATATTTCGGCCAATATCCCGTGCCGTGTCCGTGCCTCGACCACTTTTAGGCACGGCTTTCAATACATACTTTACATAAGAGCACGGAATGCTAAAGCACGGGTTTCTGGTGATGGAATCCGTGCCTGAGCCGTGTCTAAGCCGCCCGGACTGTTTCGTACGGGTATATTTAAAATAAAGAGTATAATCAAAGAGACAAAGCAGCCTATTACTACTGGACATTTTTACCTCTCCTCCCCAGGCCAGCCTAGCTTATGTAGCAGTAACCCAGGAACTCTGAAGTTCCAGCCAGTAATGCACCAGAGTATTTACAAATTAAAGTCTTATTTACAACATATAAGCCTCCAAATACTTCATACAAACAATTCCTGCAATAACTAAATGATTATCTCAATGGCACAATTAAAGAAAGAGAAAAGGGGGTCAGTGTTGGAGGAAGCCGAAGTACCAAGAGAAATCTCAAGTGTCCAAATTGGGCACCCATACCCTTACATACCTGGTAATTTGGACACCCATTACAAAAATGTATTTTCTAACAGTTTTTAATTCTAAAACCACATAAAAACTGCAGTTCTAATGAGTCTATATTTGCTTGGAAGATTTGGATATCTGCATTGTGTCTTGCTTCTCCATCCACACAATTTTAAGGATGTTCCAATCCGGCCTCTTTAATTTCTTCATCCTTTTTCTGTAAGTGAGAGAAACAACTCATCACTCATGTGGTAGTGATGGTTCAAAATCAGTATACTGAAAAAGTCATGGGGGTTAAAAGGTTTGCAACTCCCAGTTTGTCTTAAAGAAAACCACTATAATTGATTTTGAGGTCAATATCATAAATTCTGTGTAATGCTTTTGTTTCCAAGCATTTATATCTCAAGAAGACTTCAA